AGCAACTTTGTGGACTTATCATCCTATTGACGAGGATTGATAAGTGGGTTGTGTTGCGATGAGAGCAACTTTGTGGACTTATCATCCTATTAACGAGGATTGATAAGTGGATTCTTATCAGAGGTATATTGTTAACATGACAGGAATGTGTTCTTGTGACTTGCACAAGATTTTAGGAATTAGCGTCTCACTGGGGAAACTTGCTAAATGAGTTTATCATCAAAAGCGATAAATTTTGATGCTTGTGATTTTGAAGACTTAGTGTCTTGCTGGGGAACATTGCGATTTGAGCAATTTTGATGACCTATTATCCTATTAAAGAGGATTGATAAGTTGATTGTCAGAGGTGTATTGTTAACGTGACAACTTGGGAGTGATGCAAACTGACTTCATACTCCGTGGGGGTGATGATCGTCAGAAGTGTAATGTTAACTTGACGATGTGAAAGATTCGTTACTCTTAATCCAGTAGATTCCAAGTAACCAACCCCCAGTCTTGATTAGGACTTAGCAGGAGAATAAAAAGAGGTAGACAAGGCACATCACCTAGTGGGGGCACTATCCATAAAGTCGGAATAGAGGCACATCACCTGGTAGGCCATTATCTGATGAGTTTGACTATCAGGAGTAGCTATGACAGTTTTGTGGACCTGCCATCCTATTTAAGAAGATTGGCAAGTTGATGGACTATCAGAGGTAACTGTTAACATGATAGTTTTTGTGGACCCGCCATCCTATTGAAGAGGACTGGCAGGAGAATTTGTTAGGAATGGACTATCAGATGTAACTGTTAACTTGATAGTTTTTGTGGACCCACCATCCTATTGAAGAGGACTGGCAGGAGAATTTGTTAGGAATGGACTATCAGAGGTAACTGTTAACTTGATAGTTTTGGTGGACCCGCCATCCTATTGAAGAGGATTGGTGGGGGAATTTGTTAGGAATGGACTATCAGAGATAACTGTTAACTTGATAGTTTTGATAGACCCGCCATCCTATTGAAGAGGATTGGTGGGGGAATTTGGAGGAAAATAGACTATCAGAGGTAATTGTTAACGTGATAGTTTTGGTAGACCCGCCATCCTATCGAAGAGGATTGGTGGGGGAATTTGGAGGAAATGAACTATCAGAGGTAATTGTTAATGTGATAGTTATGGTGGACCCGCCATCCTATTGAAGAGGATTGACTTTAGTGGCCGGAGTATCTTCCCCTTCTGACTGAGAAGATTGAGCTTGGTCTGATTGCTCAGGTTGATCCTGCCTACTTTGTTCTTCAGCTTTGATCCTGATAATAATCTTTTGAGCTTGTTCGACTTGAGAGATTAGTTGTCTCCAAGAACGGTATTCTGTAACTCCTATTCGGGATAGGAGGTCGGTCTGCAAGTTATGCCGACAGGTCTCTACTAAGGTAGATTGTGTCATACCTGACGAACACCGAAGAGCCATGGTTCGGAACCTCTTGACGAAGACTTTGACGGACTCCCTCTTCTTCTGCTTTGTGGCGAGAAGGGTATGAATGGAGACTTTTGTATCCTCTTCAAAGAATCTCGACAGGAAGAGTCTCTCTAGATCCGCCCATTTTTGGATACATCCCGCAGGTAGTTTCCTGAACCATTCAAAGGCAACTCCCTTGAGGGTGCCAATGAACAATCGAGCCAGTATGACGTCGTTTGATATCACATTCCCAGTCTGTGATTTGAAATGATAGATATGTTGATTTGGTGATCCTGTGCCGTCAAAAGTTTGTAGCGTCGGGACTTCGAATTTTGGAGGATAAGGGGCTGTATCCCATTCGGCAGGATAGGGTCTGACAATTCTCTCGTATTGGAGCTCGCTTCTGTTGGTAATGGCATTAGGCGGGCTTCCAATTCTTCCATTTTGGCAGACTGGAGATTCTACTCGTTCTCCGTCTCTCTTCCTTCATCAGAAGAAGATTCCAGGTTGTGGGCTTCTTGGTCAGAAGTCGTGTCATCAATCACTTTTCCCTTCCTTTTGCTTGTGTAAAGTTGGGATGAAGACACTTTCTCTCTCCGGAAAGATTCTTGCCTAGGTGGCAAATCTGTCTTCTGAGATTTGGTCTTGTCTGCGACGAGTTGAGTCAACAGGGCCATGAGTTCATTGATGGCCTCCTACTGAGATTTGAGCATGACCTCCTGCTCAGCAATTCTCCTTACCAGGTCTTCGTGATTACCCGTCATATAGGCGGAGCTCTCATGTTCAACAAAAAAGCTTGATGATTGGGACTCTGCAATGGCTGAGTGTTCATCATCAGAATTGGTTCCTCTGGCTAACTGCCGATAGTTGATAGAGGGAATGGCTCCTGTTTGAGTCCGAGTACGTTGATAAACTCCATCGGACCTATTTAGGAAGTCTTTCAAGCCAGGGGACTGATCGTTCTCCGACTCATCGGAATTAGGAACTAAGGCTTTCCCTCTGCCGATCACATTGATAGTGACCCCATGATATTCGGTCTTTAGAGACTTCTTCCTGTGAGAACGTCGTCGTTGGTTGGGCAAAGCAATATTCGTAAATTGGTCGAACACCAACAGTTTGGCCGCATATGAGCAGCATTGACATCCCGAGAGGACCGTAGGAATCCGTCGTTCACATTGGAATGAACGAATGACTTGTTGCATCGGTCTTTCTCTCGAGTATGAACTTTTTCAAATCTGTTGTAAAGACTCGAGAAGAATTACTCACTGATTGTGAGGTTTGAGTTGGAACCCCCAGTCCATGATTGGACAGGACTAGCTCTTGGTGAACATGGATCTGGTTGAGATGCCTTAAATCCAAAGACTTCTTATATCCGCCCCTCGATCTAATCGCGCTACGCAGAGTATTCGGGGGTCTCGCTGCCCGGTCAGCGAGCCGGGGGCCCAGGGGGCAGCGCGCCCCTGGCCAGGGGGTCCAGGGGGGGATGGAATACCCCCCGGTGGGGTTCGAGGCAGCGTCCCAAAGCTCCACGGTATACACCAGGTTCGGTACTGAATTTCGCCACCCGAACGCATGCCTGAGCTCCAGGTGTTGCTGGTAAAACACAGTCCTAAGATCTACTTTTTGGTTCTGAAACGCATGCCTGAGAGTTGCGTTTAGTTAATGGAACGCACTCCTGAAGGCTGCGTTTTGACTGTATAATGCACCACTGATGGCTGCATTCAGTCTTATTCACACAGAGCCTATGTTTTGGCTCATAGACACGAGGCTTGCGTTCGTAGAGCACCTGGTCGCGTTTAGGCTCACAAACACGAAGCTTGTGTTGTCTTGAAGATTGACATTCACGGAGATGTGCTCGTCGTAGGGATCTCCTCCTTCGTCGAGCGACGTTCTTCTTGGCCTTTTTCAAGGCTTTTGCAGCGAGGTTGCTAGCGTTGATGGAACTCGTCGCTACAATGAGCCTTTTATGACCCAATACCCGCTGTGAAGACGTGGGTATAGAACTTTCAACTCGTTGAACAAGTTTAGCAGAAGCCGAGTCCACTCCTTCAAAGGAGAGGCTGTTCAAGCAGTCTTGATCAAAAGGGAGGGCATCCTTGGGTGATTTGGCTACAATTGGAGCAGTTAGACCTTTAGTCTCTTTGGAGACTTTGTGGATCTTGCGCATAACCTTAGGGCTAAGGGATCCGGAGGAGAGGGCTTCCTCGTACTTGGCTTGATCAAACTCTACAACGAGAGTTTCAACAGTCATTCCAGTGAGATGAACATCGGATTGCACCACCACTTCTTCGTCAGAGAAGCTCTTCCCCAGCAGAGTTGCCATCTTTTGTTTGTGGAAAAATTCGATGTAAAAGAAATGAAAGAAAAAAATTGATTTGTATTCTCTCAAAATCGATTACAATTTGGATTCCGATTACAAAAGAGAAGAGAATGATCTGGATTCTCCCCTTTGTTTAATTCTGGGTTCTTCACGGTGGCGATGGAGTGCCTCCCTCGAATGCTCGTGTCGAGTTTGCTCTCCGTTGACGATCCGAACGTCTTGATTCACTGGAACGTGGTCTTCTCCTCACGATTTGACATTGTGGAGAACTTGCAAAGAAAGTTTTAGAACTCTTGATGAGTTGATTGATCTTAACCGTAATTGGTTAGACAAGTCAAAGATCTCTTCTTTGCTGCCAAGGAGAAGGATCCAAAAGCCAGCCCCAGGATCTCTTCTGTTGCTGCCAAGAAATTCCAACAGACTAAATCCCTAAACTGAATTGATTTTCAGTTATTTATAGGGGATTAAGGGTGTAACCACATTCTTAATTCGCTCCTAAGTGGGGCTAATGGGATGTAACCGCCCCCTTAAATCACTCCTGAGTGGAGTTGTGATCCCCTCAGATCGTGGAAAACGGTTTTGAAACTGTTCAGCTCGTGTTTGAACTGGTCAAACGCAAAATCCGCATTCTGGTGTGAATTCTGCATTCAAACGCAGTGTCTGAAAGCTCGGACGCAACGGCTGGAAGCTGCGTTGGCATTTGGAGGCTGCGCTTGAGCTGCGTTCGTGGCTATGAACATGGTGCGTCTTGATGCTGGTTCGCGGGGAGGACTTCCACGTATTGGTTTGAAGAGACCGTCGATTTGTAGTCTCTTTCTGTCAGAGCGTTGCAAAGATCGTCGTTTTGTAATCTCTGCTTTAGCTCTTTGATATGTGAGAGTCGTCAGATTGTAACTCTCGATGTTGATTGTGAAGGCTGTTGATCAGAGCTTTCATCAGTTGTTGTGAAGGTCGTCAGATTGTAACCTTCATCGATCTACGTGAAAGTCTTCAAATTATAACCTTCTGAAAGTCATCGGATTGTAACTTCTATCATCAGTGTTTGATGGGGATTGACTATCTGTAGTGATTTTTAGATAGTCTACAGACCTCAATTCCCACAAATTTTCTTTAAAGGGTTAAACTTTCTTGAGATGGTGTGAGGGCTCCTTGGACTTAGGAGTCCCCTAACCAATTTCCTCGTTTCCAATAATAATAATAATAATAAAAGAAAAATAAATGATGATTTGCTTGCCCCATTTCGGTAGCAAAACACGACCACATATAAGGAAATGGAAAGAGGCATAAATATAACTTTGACAATTACTTTCACTAATAACTATTTCTTGTACACGAAATTACACTTGTGACGAACTCTTGGAAGAGTTTAGGAGAGGTTTCTCAACGTCATCACTTGTTTGTGCCAAGTCATCATCAAGATTAGGGATGACAAGTCCTTCCTTCTTCTTAGCCCATAAAACCATGTAAAGCCCAGAAAACATGACGCAACATTCCTGCTAACTTGGCATATAAGTTTCTCAAGTTAAATAGTTTTATTTTATTGCTTACAGAGTCAATCACAATAAAGATATTTTATGAAAGGCACTTAAATCTCCTAGAAGAGATGAGTAAGAACTTCTTTAATTATATAATGAATTCTTTTGCTTGGTTTTAGTCTATTTTAGATCTTTTTTCCCCTTGAGGAGATAGTCTAAATCAGATGTTCGAGGTAAAAATTAACCGTTTGGGCTGATTGAGAACTCAAGGTTCTAAAGTTCTTATTTGTAAAAGGCTAAACTGCCACTATGTTTACCTAAAAGCTAATCATCTGCGCACGTGTATTGTAACATAATCTGTCATTAAGAACTAGAAACCAGCCTAATTTTGATCCATTTTATAGAGTATTTACCTTCCTGTCTTGATATCTTGGCTCAAGAACATGGCAGAAAGAATTGTTGAGAAAACAGTTTGTACAGGACTAAACATAGATACAAGAACAGGCCCCTTCTTCTTAACTGCCCATGTTTGGAATGAAACACACAGAGCGATCACCATTCCACCCTGTACATTGCAAATAATAGGGGTGGTAAAGGATCGAATCGAATCGAATACTAAAGTCTTCGTATTTGTATTTGTTTGCAATTATCGAATTCGAATTCGAACTCGAATATTTGGTATTTGATAAATATTCATGAATATTCACGAATACTTATCAAATATCAATGTACATTTATTCCGCTAAAGAATTTGATTTGCAAATAGTATTAAAATTCATAAAAAAAAATTATTCCTTTATAATATATGATGTATATATATATTTAAATCATGATTTTAATTAGAAAACAAATTTAAGATTATTTAAGTCTTAAAATCAATATATAAAACTTAAGTAGGAATGATAAGTGGGCTAAAAATATAACATCATATGTGCAATAATACAAATAATAAGCTGTGATTAAATTTTAAACAAATATTTAATAGACAAACGAATCGAATATACATCTGGTTAAATTCTATTCGTTAGTAAACTTGAATACTAAAAAATATTTGTTTAGTGGTAAATGAACTACCGAATCGAATATGATCGAATAGTTATTCGAACAATTATCGAACTATTTGTTAATTATTTGGTTCATTTCCACCCCTAGCAAATAATAAGCAGTAATCAGCCAATGTCATAAAATTATTATGGATGGACATGCTGCGTTGCAAGTTAGCCACTTACTGCCTCTTTTTTTATTAACACCTAAACTCTCTATCATTTAAATAGAGTTATCTCTCTGTTACATGTACATGTCACATGCGTATCATGTTATATTTATATACTATTGATGAATTCTGTTATATTCCGGTGTATAGTAGAATGACTCATATTTATGTCGTTCTCAACATATATCTCTTATGTATAGTAACAGAAATGATAGTGAGATAAATCCATTTGACTTCAGAGGTTCTATGTCCTAATGAAAAGTTTAGAAAAGTAGATGACTAATCCCCTGTTATACGAAGGGTGTATCTGCAATTAAATACAAAAAGAAAACTACTAACTAACCCATGTTCTAAATAATTTCATACCAATATCATGATGGTAATTATGCTTTGCAGGTTGATCGTAGTGGAACCAGGATTCACCTTTCCTTCTGTGACAATTTGTAGGAATACAGTAAAAATTGTACCCAACAGTGAGGTAACAGAACATAAGGATAAAGGTGCTGGAAAATGAACCATTGTAACAGCCTGGAGTATTTCACGGAACTATAAGTAAAACATTTTCAAAATAATAAAAAATGTTCTATATGAAAACTATATTAATATCAAATGTTATGAATAAGATGTAACCTGCAACACAGTGCTGCACGAAACCACAAGAACTGCTGCAAGAAGATAGAAACAACCAATGATCCAGTCATTGTTGGCTTCATCTTTCAAGGGCTCAATATTCGCAAGTGATACTTGAGTTTGATCCTTAACTGAGTCCTTTGGACTTTGTAGGTAGCTCATGACTACAGCCCCACTTAAACAGAGTACAGTCCCCATGATCTTGGCCCTACTATATTGGCAACCTATATCAACTTTCTCAAACCTACAAGACAACTATAAAAAATTTCTAAGAGAGCATGTTAGTTCAATGAATTGCGAGACTCATACTATTTATATTATTTGGTTACTACAGGACTTGAATATTTTGATTGCAAAATAATTAGATTAAGAGGAAGAAATCTATGTCCTTGCTGAATTTTTTGAAAAAAAATGTCCTTGTGTCTTCTAGTGCAAAATAATTAGATTAATTATAGTACAACCAATATTATTTGACACGCAACATGTCAAAATTAGTTAAACTATGCTATAATATCACACACACTGTTTTAGGTCTATCTCCGTTAAGAAAGAGAAAGATAAGGACAAAGAATAAAATGGTAAGAGTAATGTTAAATGTACTATAAATACTATACTATTTTGTATTATCCTAAACAAAAAAGTGGGGTCGAATTGAAGATGACTCATAATTTATTTTGACAATTTTCAAGGAAAGACCTTACACATTTCTTAACAGTAATACAAAGTAGTACCATTCTAAATGGTAATGCTACAAGATGAAGTAATCTAGGGCAACTTTTTTCTTCAATACTATTTAGATCATTTGATAGTTATAACACCTTGAATATTTCATAGCTAATATAATAGCAAGAAATTTTTTGAAGTTTTAACCTAGAAAGTATCTATCTTTATGGAAACTTAGAAAAAAAGGAGATATTCTATGAAAAGAGAGAAACAAAAGGTAGAAAGCATGAAGGAAAAATTTATATAACATGTACAATTGATGAACGAAGGAATAATGTTTAATATTGTCTTAATATATGTATAAATTTTTACATTTGATAGAAAATTCCCCATTTCATTATCGGAGTGGTATTCTAAGGAACGTTTGGGTATGTATAATTAATCCTAATTCATCTTAATTTGTAACAATTTTGTATTGTCAATAAACTTTGAATTACATTACTAAAGACAAGTTAACTGACCTGAGTGAAGCTGAAATAATAAATATTATGCCTGGGGCAATATTAGGCATGGCAGATGCAATGGCTGGATTTGTTTTCTCAATCCCCAGCATCATCAGAGTTTGAAATGTAGTCACCCTGAATAGACAAGTATATATGTTATACATGTGCTTCTAAGAACAATTAAATGCTATTCTTCTAAAATCATATCATATCATCATACATATCATACTCCTTATAAAAATGTGAGTTTAGGAAAAGTTAAATTAGATAATTACAGTTTAATTATAGTTTGCTGAGGAGCGGTCTAAATGGCGCTTTTTAGCAAACGATTTCAGAGCTGCTAACTTACGCCTCCGCTTAGATCTCAATGGAAAAAAAGAAGAAGAAAAGTAAGAAAAAAAAATCTTAAATATAGGATTGAGAGCTTCAAACTCAAGGTTGCTAGGTTCCGATGATCTTTCTAATACAAATTTTGTTGAAGATGATGAAGATTTTGATTTCAATGTGATGGGGTCAACGGGGCCAAGAGGTGAGAAGAAGAAGAAATCGATGATGGAGATTCTTAATTTTATGGATTCTCGTCACACTCAAGTTACTCCACAGATGATCGGTAAGCAATCTCGCCATCTCAGTTCTTATAGTGGTGCTGGGAGCTCAGGTGGAGTTTCTTCGGCTGATGAAGTTGAATCGGTAGATATTTTGCCTGATTCTCCGTTATTACTGCATTCTTCAAATTCGGTAAGAAATTCAAGCTCAGATCCTGTGTTTCTTGTATCTGGTGTTGATACGGCTACTGTTCCATTAGAGTCTGTTGAGAAAATTTCTGTTCCTGATGTTTTAACTATTCAAAATAGTTCAAACACAAGTAAATCTAACAAAGAGAAAGCATATTTTCCACTAATAGGGCCTGTAAATAAACCTATTTTAGATCCTGTCAATATTGTTAAGAAAACTAGGCTAGTATTTTTGTTGACAACAGAAAACTAGAGAATAGATTTGACTTGGATTATATGCCACCTGCAACAAAGGATACAATGACATTTGAAGAGGAAGAATGGAATGAGGGAGTATCTTTTTGGTAATTCTCCCTTATTGGCCAAGTTATGAGGCTTAATGTAAGATACAAAGCTGTGGAAACATTTATACAGAAAGTTTGGGCTCCTTTGGCAATTCCAGAAGTTAGTATCCTCAAGGAAGGTATATTTCTGTTCAAATTCAAAAATAAAAAAGAAATGTGTGATATTCTTGGAAATGGTCCGTGGTTTTTTGGCTCTAGACCTTTACTTTTAAAGACTTGGTCTATTGATATGGATATTGATAGAATAAAAGAATGTATATATCCTATGTGGATTCAATTACCTGGACTAAAGCTTAACCTATGGAATGCCAAGGCCATTAGTAAAATTGCAAGTGTTATAGGAAGACCAATTTCCACTGATAAACTCACTGCAAGTAGACAAAGACTTGCTTATGCTAGGGTCCTTGTTGAAGTCACAATGCCTTCCCCTCTTCCTGATTATATTTCAATTCAGGGGCCTAATAATTCTCATTTCACTTAGAGGGTGAATTATGAATTTAAGTCCAGATAGTGTGAATTTTGTAAAATAGTGGGACATGACTCAACATTTTGCAAAATACAGTCTAGAGTTCAGAAATGGATCCCAAAACAAAATACTGGTAATGCTGGAAATGAAAGAATTGATGTAAGCCAACAGGGGGAAAATTCTGGTGTTGGCTATAAAAGCTCTGAGGGAATTCTGCATACTAATGTGATGCCAAGTGAAAAGTGCAACATTGAAAGCTGCAGTAATTCTCCCCAGTTGTTTGTGCATGTTTCTATGCATGTCACACCTGAAAATGTTACATTGCAACATAAGGATGCTGGAGAGAAGGGTATTGCTAGTTAGTTTCCTAAACAAAATGAGAATGTCCAGTTATCTTTACAAAAGGTAACACAGGAATTTGAAGTTAACCTACCTCAAAGGAGTATGGTGAATGTTGAAAAAATGTGAATGAAAGAATGCAAACAAAAAGAATGGGATCAAATCTTCAAAGCACTAAAAAAACAATGACGTAGTTGAACAAAGACTTGTGCATGTTGTGCATGCTCAACAGTTAAAATTGGTGTATATCAAGCCCCTCTTACTAATAGCTCTTGGATTGACATACAAAGAAGTAAGAAAAAGGCTTCTATTCCTACTAACTCTTTCTCACGTCTAAGTTGCTTAGATATTGACTCATCTACAATTGATAGAGGAGGATTGTTCTAAACATGAATCTATCTTTTTGGAATGTGAGAGGGTTGAATAAGTCCTCAAAGCAACACATGGTAAAGCAACATATGCTTCAGTATCACTTATCTTTTTTTAGCTCTACTTGAGACAAAACTAAAGGAGAATATGCTATCAATAATTGTTAAGAAGATTACTAATAATTGGAAATGGATATTTAATTTGAGGAGGTATGGGAAAACTAGAATCATGTTATTATAGGACCCTAATATTATGAATGTTCAGACTGTTAGTAGCTCTGATCAACATATAACATGAACAGTAAATTTTTTTTGATGGGAACTTAGATTGTATTATTTCCTCAATATATGGTTTCGGTCAGTTGGAAGCTAGGAAAGAATTGTGGGCAAATCTTAATGATATCCACCAATTTGTTGGAAATACTCATTGGTTGCTAAGTGGAGACTTCAACACAATTACAAGTAATGAAGAAAAACTAGGTGGTGCAAATCTTTCAGATGCTGATACAAATGATTTCAATAACTTTATTAGTAATTGCCTACTCACACACTTGAAAACAATTGGATGCTTCTACACTTGGAATAACAAACAGGATCCTATATCAATGATTTGGAGTAGATTGGATAGAGCTTTGGTCAATGATTCATGGATCCAACAGTACAATTTAAGTAAGGCTAAATATTTACTTCCAAACTGTTCTGATCACTCTCAGGCCCTGATCTCAATCAATGAGGATATTGTTCAAGGGAAAAAACCTTTCAAAAATTTTAAAATGCGGACAAGCCATGAAAGCTTCTTACCAACAGCTTCAACACACTGGCAAACAAAGATTGAAGGCTGCAAGATGTTTTCTGTATATACCAAACTCAAGTAACTCATGCGTTCTTTGAAAGATTTAAACAAGAAAAGTTTTAAAAATATTAGTGAACAGGTTCAAAGAGCTAGACATGATCTGGAGGAAGCTCAAAACAATCTTCAAAATGCACATCTCAACCCAAAATTCATTAAACATGAAAAAGATTGTATCTCTGTATACAATAAGCTGCTGGATTGTGAGTTATCATTCTTCCAGTAAAAAGCAAGAATAGTTTGCAGTGTTAAAGGAGATAGATGCACAAATTTCTTCCACTCTGTGATAAAGTCAAACAGACACCACAATAGAGTGATGGCTCTTTATAATTCCTTGGGGCAAAGAATAACAGATGGTGAAGGTATTGTTAATGAACTGATTTCTTTTTTCAAAAGCCTAATGGGGACTGCCATTTACTACCACAATACCTGATAACAACATCATTCATTATGGTCCTTGTTTGAGTGATACTCATGCTAGAGCTATTTCTTCTCCTATTACCAATGATGAAATTAAAAAGGCTGTTTTTTCTATGTCTGAAAACAAAGCTTCAGGGCTATACGGATACAATGTTTCCTTCTTTAAATCAGCTTGGAGTGTCATTAGGGATGAAGTTACTCAAGCTATAGAGTAATTTTTCAAATCAGAGAAGTTTCTGGGGGCTATCAATTCAACTTCTATTACTCTCATTCCAAAGATAAAATTGTTAGGAATCTTGACCCCAAGATTAGTTTGTTTTGATGATAACAAATATTATATGTTGTGTGTATTATGTGCTAACATTTGTTTTGCAGTATCAGAGCTATATCAACAATTATATTCAAAGAGATACTCAAGACATAGATGAGTTCAAGGCAAAATGAAGCAAAGAAGAAGATATACTTTATTGTCAAAATGTAATTTTATATTTTCTTTGCTTAAAAATTTGTACAAGCCTTGATCACTCACACACATGCACACACATAGTGTTAGAACACACTAACACATACTTAGTGTGTTGGTTAACAATAGAAATCCCCTATGTTAGCCATTAGAGTTTATAGATATTAAGTGAGTCTTAAAACATTTTATTTACACCTCTTAGAAATTAGAATCTGGAAAACCTCAAAAGACCAAAGTTGTAGGTCTCTTCAAGAGCTTTCCAACAAATCTTAAATCACCTCATTCCGATATCGGATGAGAAAGTTATAGTCAAAATACTAAACAGAAAAATTCCAGAATCTGAGTTTACAGTGTAGTCGACTACTATGCCTTGTAGTTGACTACTGAGCAATTTTCTGACTTCACAGAGTCTGTTTAGACTCAGTGTAGTCGACTACTATGACTTGTAGTCGACTACAGATGCAGTTTTTCCAGATTTCAGGTTTAAAATAAGTGACTGTTTATAGCCGTTTTGTGGACGTTAATTGGGTTTAAAATTATGTCATTTCAGAGGCTATAAATAGGTTTAAACATCAGAAAACAACAACCAAGTTTTACACTTGCAAGATCAAACATTTTGTGCATATTCACTCTCTAATTTTCCAGATTTTCATGCTAAGTGTTTAGAAAAAGAGAGTTTCTGATATTGCCTTGGTTTCAATCATTCTTAGAGATTGTATAGACAATATTCAGAGAGTTAAAAGAATCCTAAGCCACTGCAGCACTTCACTACACATTCAAGGCTTATAGGATCAATTGTGTTCTTGCTTCAAAAAGGATTTCTCTCGGGTTTGAGAGGGTTGATCTCTTGGTTTAGAGATTGGGTGGCAATTGGCATGGTCTTGTCAATTGGTGTTGCAATTTGCATGGTCTTGCAAATTGGTCAGGTTTGCTTTTGATTTTGTAAGGTTTCAAAATCATAGTGGAAATCTCAAGCGGGATTTGCTTGGGGACTGGATGTACACCGGGTTGGTGGAACCAGTATAAAACTTTGTGTTTGTGATTGTGAATTTCTGAGATTGCCATTTTTCTTTGTAATTTATAATCTACTTTGCATATATTTTGAAAGAATACTATTCACCCCTCTTCTAGTGTTCTAGTGTATCTATTTCAG